GAACTCCTGACCTTGAGGGATCCACCCGCCTCGGCCTCCCAGAGTGCTAGGATTACAGGCGTGAGCCACCGCACCTGGCCTTAGTGGAGAGAGAATGAAATATAACACCATTTGTGTCACTTATAAATGATCAAAACAGAGACAGTATAAAGCAGACTTTTATTATCTGACTAGTGAGAAATAATATTTTGTAGTTTTTCAATATATTTTTAATTTTTTAATTGATTAAGAGTATCAAATTTAAAGCTGGTTGCTAAGGACAAATACAGTTGTTTTTAAAACTCTTCTTACCATCTTCTGGAGATTTTTACTCCTCTACTCTATGCTCTGAAATACCAGCGTTAGTGCCAAATCCAAAAGCAATGATCTTTGTAAGAGGACAAGGGAGGGTGACTGGGGTTTTTAATATTTGAGCCTCTCAAAATAGGTAAGTACTGGTGTGGTCAATTATAGCTGAATAAGCTTTAATCTGTATTTATACCAGTCAGCATAGATAAACAGCAGAAGAGTGTTTTTTCTTGGTTTTATCTTCTTATAATTGGAAGAACATCATTAATCTCATAGTCATGTGTTTGGTCATACAGATACCATCAGACCTTCTGGATAAAGAATTTCTGCCTATCCTCCAGGAGGAGCCCCTGCCGCCATTGGCCCTTGTACCATTTACAGAAGAAGAACAGGTTTGTGCCTAGCTCTGAACCCTGGCAAACCCTTGTTCCTTCCCACTAACGCATGAAAATAGGAAGCTGTTACTTAGGCCCTTAGGATTATCCTGCGTCCTCACAGATCTGCTTCTTTCTTACTATTTCTTGGCATACGAATGCCTTTTCATGGACTGGATTTTGCTTTAGTATCTGAAGCAGTTGACTATTATGTAGAGATAAGGAAATGTTTTAGGACAATGGGAAACATTCTTTAAAACATGCTAGAGTAGAGAGGAAGAGTTATTTTTGGGGGTGGTAAGGGGGAAGATCATCTTTGTAGAAAAACATGGTTTTTCAGAAATAATTGCCTACCTGAACTCTTTGAATTGCCAACCAATTCATTTTACCACTAAAGGAAAATGTAGGTCTTCAGCTCAAAATGTACTTAAAACTCTCTGTCACCAATTTTTTTGTGTATGATGTTGTGAGAAGGTAAACTTCTGGTCTGGAAAGTAGCAAATTTTGTATTGTCCCTATTTATGGTGTACTACATCCTGTGCAAACATAAAAGAGTTTCTGATTTCAAGGAACTTACATGATTATAGTAAAATAAAATGCAGAAATAAGAGTTTTGTTGGAATGCTGGAATGTCACATTAAATGGAGAATCAACATAACTTTGTTTTTAAACAGGTTTATTGATTAGCCAAGCATGGTGGCACATGCCTGTAGTCCTAGAAACTCGGGAGGCTGAGGCAGGAGGATTGTTTGAGCCTGGCATTTGGAGGTTTGCACCACTGCACTCTAGCCTGGGTGACAGAGCGAGGCCATCTCTTAATAAAAACAAATGAATAAAAAACCCCAGCTTTATTGAGACATAATTCACCCATGAAATTCATTCTTTTTAAAGTGTACAGTTCAGTGGTTTGTAGTATATTAACTGAGTTCTACAACCGTCACTTATGTCTAATTCCAGAACATATTCATCATTACATTTTTATGCCAACTCTGGATGTTTTCTCTATACTCTTGCAGTGGTTTGTGTGGGGAAGCCACAAATAACTCTCTGTTAGAAATGCATTAAGATGTAAGAAAGTTGTGATATTAATCTTTGGTAATTTTCACCATATTTTCGTAATTTTGGTTTTGGTTGTGGCTTCTTCTAAATTAGGCTAGTTTCATCTTGACTTATGAACCCCAATGACCCTTTTTCATTGACCAAAAGGTATTTATTATTATAGACAGTACACAGGAAAGAACGAGTCTGTCTCCAGCAATTGCCGAAAAGTTCCTACCAAGTATCAAATTAATATATGAGTATATTTTAGTTTAATTTTTCTAAAAAATATTTTTATTATGATGTATTTCAAATACACAAATATTGAGAACATTATTACAAATACCAGTATGTTTACTATTCAAGTATATCAAATGTTAAACTTAAGATATATCTGTATGTCTCTTTTTGTTTTGAGAAATCAGATTTCTCATACAGTTCACACTGCCTGGGTGTACCCCTTCCTTCCTTCTCAGAGATTCTATGAACTGGTTTATTTTTCCTTATGTTTTTCTTGCGCATTTAAATATCCTGTACCATAAAATAGTTTCATTTTATTGGGTTATAAATTTTATATTGAAGATAGCATACCTTAGTTCTTATTCTGTAGCTTATTTTTTTTCCTTTGTAACATTGATTTTTAGATTTATCTATGGTGATACATGTAGGTCTAGTTCGTTTGTCTGCTATGTATGAAAAAATCCACAATTTTCCCAGTCTTGTTGGATATTTAATTTAGGTTGTTTTCAATTTTTGTTAAAACAAATTATGCTGTAGTGAGCATTGTTACAATGTGTGTTGTAAAAGTGGAATCCTTGGGTTTTGGTTTTCTGTATTTTTTAAAACTTTATTGGGTGTTGCCAAATTACTTTCTATTGTGGTTTAGAACAATTTGTGCTCCCACGAGCAGTGTATCAGAGGTTACATTTCTATAACTTTCCAGCTTTTGATCTTTAAATTTTTTCCAAACTGATGCTTGTGTGCCATGGTAATCCTGCTCAGTAAAAATATTAGGAAAAAAAAGAAAAAAAAAAATCCCTGATGGTTGTGATAGTTGTTTTTAATTTGCATTTCCCTAGTTACTAGTGAGATTGAGAATCTTTTCATACGCCTATGGACCATTATTGATTTTTGATTTGCCTGTGTCTTTTGTCCATTGTTCTGATGGGTTGTCTTATTGATTTTACAATTTTCGTATACATTCCTTAAAATCAATAAAATACTAATTTTATTATTACAAAAGTTACTCATATTCATTGCCAAAAATACAGAAAATTATAAAGAAAAAGCTCACTTAAAAACTTACCATGTAGAGATAATTACTTGTTAACTTTAGTCTGTTTTATTGTAGCCTGTTTTCTTTGTATATCTTTAATTGTCAAAATATGTCAATACAAACTGAATCTAATAGATTTTTTTTAAGGATTATACACCATGACCAAGTGGGATTTATTCCTGGAATGTAAAGGTGGTTCAACATAAGAAAATCTGTGTAATATACCATGTTAGTAGAACAAAGGAAAAAATCCCCCACCTGATCATGTCAATTGATACAGAAAAAGCATTTGACAAAATTGAACACCCTTTCATGATTTAAAAAAAACACTCAGCATACTAGATAGGAATAGAAGGAAGCTTCATCAGTGGATTGAGGGCATTTTTGAAAAACATCTATCTCACATCATACTCAGTGATGAAATCTGAAAGCTTTCCCCTAATATCATGAATAAGACAAGGATGCCTGCTCACCATTGCTATCCAACATTGTATTGGAGGTTCTAGCTAGAGCCTTCAGGTGAAAAAAAGAAATAAAAGGCATCCAAATTAGAAGGAAAGAAGTAAAACTATTTCTATTTGTAGGTGACATGATCTTATATATAGAAAAATCCTAAAGAATCCACAAAAAAACTATTAGAAATAATAAATTCAGTACGGTTATAAGTTACAAGATCAACGTGCAAAAATCAGTTGTATTTCTATACACTAGCCATGAACAAAGAAGATTAAGAAAATTCCATTTACAATAGCATCAAAATGAATAAAATATTTAAGAGTAAGTTTAACAAAAGGGCTATAGACTTTTAGACTTAAAACTGTAAGACACTGTTGAAAGAAATTTAAAAATACCTAAATAAATGGAAAGGCATTCATGTTCATGGATCAGAAGACTTGATATTGTTAAGATGTAGTACTCCCCAAAGCAATCTACAGTCAGTGGGAACCCTATTGAAATCCCAGTGGCCTTTTGGGCAGGCCTTGACAAGTCGATCCTAAAATTCATGTGTAATTGCAAGGGACCGAGAATAGTCAAAACAATTTTGAAAAAGAAGGACAAAGATAGAGGACTCAAGTTTCCTGGTTTAAAAACTTTTTACAGAGCTACGATAATCCAAACAGTATGGCTTAAGGGCAGACATAGGTTAATGGAATATAATTGAATGTCCATGAATAAACCCCAGTTGTTTCATACTGCTAGATTGCTTTCAAGAAGGCGCGAGTGTGGATATCTCTTTTGTTTCACTGCTGCCATAACTGCAGTATTTTACCATTGTTTTGCATGTTTAGTATTTTTATTTTTTTAATTTTATTTATATATTTTTGAATAAGTAATAAATGGTTTAAAAGTAACAATTTACAGAACAGCATGTAAAGGAAAATCGTCTTTCATCCCTTACCCTAGCTCCTGTCCCCCTTTCCCAAAGGCAACCAGTGTTAGCAGTTTCTTGTGTATTTTTTCAGGTAAATCTATGCTTCCCCCTTGTATATAAGTGGCGGTATACACTAAACATTATTCTGTACTTCCAACATTAAGAAAAAATTCCTTGCACGTTTGGAAAAATGTTCTTCTGTTGTTTTAGTTTGCATTTCTTTGCTCAGAAAAGTAAACAGTTTTTCAGATGTTTATTCATCATTTATAATTCTGTTAATTTTTTTCTTGTCTTTGCCAGTATTTCTTTTAGGATATTAACTTTTTTCTTGTTGATTTATATTTATATGAGCTTGTTATATTTTAAGGTCATTAGCCATAGTTGCACCTGGTAAGTTTTCTAAATTTTTAAATTGCATTTATGATTTTAAATATAGAAGCTATTTTTATTAGCACAATATGCCAGTTTTATTCTTTTGTAGTTATTCTTCTAATTTTCTAGCTGTTTATACATACTTTAAATTTTTCTTAGTTTTTCTTAAGTGATTTCCTATATTTCTTAGAGACTACTAAATGCACCAGAAAAGGGAGGATGACTAGTTAACAAAACATGGCAGACTTTTAATCAACAAAATGAGTAATTGAATCATCCAGAAATATCTCATAACATTTTAAGGAAATTAGTATGTAGTAAGTGGCTACACAAATCATTTGGAAAATCCAAAATTATTCAACAAATGTTGCTTGAGACCTGTTGGTTAACAACAGTTAACCAGTGACAATTGATTATCAATTTAGAGAAGAATAAAATTAGATATGCACTAACCTACACACCAAAAATAGTTCTAGAATGACTAAAGGAGTAGATCTTAATTTTGTTTTTATAATGGAAATATTTACCTTAAGGTCTGCATTCTATGATCACAGGTGCTTGATGCAAGGATTGGGAAGTTTTCACTGTAGCCACAGAAGATCATCAAGTCCATTTTTGAAGGCATTTAAAATGCCTCATTTAGGATACTAACTTATTTAGTAGCTTTTGTCATTTATGAAATATGTTGGAGTAGGACAGTGCTTAAAGCTAGGAAAAGATTCGTCAAAATGTTGATGTCCTTTGGTCAGGTACCCCTTCAAAGATTGTTTGGATCTTCCTAGAGTTTTATATTCTTTTTCTTTCAGCACCCCTGTAAGGGAGGTAAATACTTTTAAGAACTTAAAGCAAGCTTCTTATCTTGCTGCATATCTTAAGTTTCCTGAAGTTACCTGATTTAGGTATTTTATTTTTAAAGTGTACTCACACACTCATTCCCCTGCATGTACATATGTATATATGTATAAAATATAACCAGGAAAAAAAAGGTTTCTTAGAATAAAATCAATGCTCAAAAATTTAGTTGTTCTTTTGGCTTGGCATTTCACTTGAATATTTATCTCAGTGTGAGAAGCATGATTCTATGCATTGCATATGTAATTTAGGTAGCTGCTATGAGATGAGTGCATTTTATTTATTTGACACCAAAGAAAATTACTTGATTTATGCATTCTTGAATAGATAATGTGTATATGTATAGATAAAAAAATTGAAAAAACATATATAACAAAAAGCAAGTCTGTGACTCACCCAGACCCTGCTACCTGTTTTCCTCAGGACTAACCACTGTTTCCATTTTCTTGTGTTCCCTTCCAGGGGTGTTTAAGGTGTGTGCAACTATCTGTATATTTCTTTAAATACCCACTTCACACATACACATAGATGGTAGTATGCTATCTGTGTACACAGTTTTATACTTTACTGTTTTTACCTAAGTGTCTATCTAGGAGGTAAATAGCAAATATTTATTAGCTTTTAATTAATATGTGTCAGGTATTGTTCTAAGCACTTGAAATTTAGTGTGTTGAGTGCTTCCAACATTCCCTAAGGTAGATAAAAATATCCTTGTCCACTTTATATAGATGAGGAAACTGAGGCCAGAGAAGTTGAGTAAAGGAGCCAGAAGTCAGTCCCAGGCAATGTGGCCTTGTCCATGCCCCTAACTACAACTGTGCTCTGTGTCCCTGTATGATTGACCATAGGAAATTGCAGTTTTTGTGAATCAGAAATAGTTGAATATTAACAATTTCATATGGTTCAATCTAAGAAATAGAGTTGCCTCATTTCTTTTAATCAGCTATATGGAATTTCGTGTATATATGACCAGAATTTTTAAATTAGCTCCTATCAGTTGAAACTTAGTTTCTATATTTTGCTTTTAGAAACAGTACTGCATGCAGTTAAAATTCTCCTTCTGGATACATACAGCATTTAGTTTATTTGCTTGTTTAATATTTTCTCACCAAACCTAGCATAGTGTAAGGCACTGGTTGTCAATTTTGCGGATCCGAAATGTTAATTAGAAATTGTGAGCTAAAATTAAGTTTTGGATCATCTCGTGTGTTGTGTGGTTATGGTTTCCTATTGCTAGTAGTGATTAGATGCCGTTTTACAGATGCAGTGGGAGGTGGGAAGAAGCAACATGTAGTTTTATCTGTTTTATCCATTTTTTCTTTCTTTTCTTTTCTCTTTTTTTCTTTCTCTTTTTCTTTTTTTTTGGCAGAGAAACTTTTCGATGTCTGTAAATAGTGCCGCTGTCCTGCGATTGACAGGACGAGGAGGAGGAGGAACAGTGGTGGGGGCTCCTAGAGGTCGAAGTTCTTCAAGAGGGCGAGGTGAGCTTTCATGTGAACCAAGTAATAAAGGAGGAGGGAGAGGATAGGGAAATCACTTTTTAAATATTTCAATGCCTGATTTAAAAAAAAAAACAAACCTGTTCTTTGACTTTAACTGCATATTAAATGTCCTGAACATTTGTTTCCTGAACCATTTCTCAAGGTATCTCCTCTACAACCCCTGATTCGGAGCAGAGGAATGTAATTCTAGCTGTAGAGGTTTGAGCATGAGGGAGTCTAGACAGTCCCAGTTAACTTTGGCAGATCTTGGTTATCCATGTTTCTTGTCCCCAGGGAGCCTTACTCTCTGGGAGCCAGAGCTTCCTGAAGTGTCTTGACTGTTGGAGCAGCACTGAAGTCCCCGCAGGCTTCTGGGACACAAAGTTTTTGTACAAGGGCCATGTGCCAAGAGTGTCCCCAGCCAGAGAGGGGCTTTAGCAAAAACTGTCTCATCAATACTAGAACCTTTTAGGGGGTAGAACAAAAAATAATTAAACAGCATTCATTTGTTTAACCTATAGTTTTATAGATTTATATCTGATCTTAGAAAGATTCTTTATTTACTTGTTTCTTTCATATCTGCTCCCTATTGGATTTTTTTATTTTCTGCCATATAAGGGCATTCTTAATGTTTGCAATGTAAATATTTACTTGTGCATTTAACTCTAAGCTGGTTAAATCATAGTCTAAACATACCTGGTAATTTTCTCTAAGAAATGCTTTAGAAATGGAAGAGTTGGATGCTTGCAATGACAGAGACCATTGGCTCTACATATCATATCACCAAGATTGACACGATCGTGAGTGTAGAGTATCTACATTCTTTTTAAGGTCATGCCTTATGACTAGAGTAATTTATGTACAATCTTTATAGAGAATGTATTCAGTTGTGTATTTTTGGTAAGAGGTTTCTTTAGGTAGTCCATTTAGAATGTGGGAATGCTGGTGTGAATGATGAAGAGTCTAACTGAAACTCTTCACTTGTTATGGTAGGTACCTGGTAATGTTTTTTCCTTCTCAATTTATTTGTCCATCTCTAGAACAGTGGTTTTTAACCTGAGTTATTGTTAGACTCATCTGTAAAGCTTATAAGAAATACCTCTGCAACACGATTTTGGGTGGTGAGATCTAGTGATATGTGTGCTTCAAAAGCTCTGCAGATAATTCAGATTTGTACACCCAGTTAGGTTCCATTGGTCCAGAATTTGTCTCAGATCCATGCGTCTTGGTGGTATGATGGTGTTTTAGAGATGGGACTGACCACTCATGACTCTGGCCTGCTACTTGGGCATTTCCTGTGTTTTTCTGCTGTATGTTGGCAGCAAGGAGAGGTTGTACTCAGGCAGTTTTGCCTGCAGTGCTTTTTAGGGCAAGTCAGAGATGTTTTTAATCAAGAAGTGTGAACCACGATTTGTGTGCTGCAAATACAAACCAATCTCCAAATGGGCCCTTTAGAGGCCGGATGCCTCAGTAGTGGCTAGCACCTATAATTCCAGCACTTCGGAAGGCCACGGTGAGAGGATCAGTTGAGCTCAGGAGTTGGAGACAAGCCTGGGCAACATAACAAGACCCCGTTCCCACAAAAGGTAAAAAGATTAGCCAGACACAGTGGTGTATGTCTGTAGTTCCAGCTACTTGGGAGGCTAAGGCAGGAGGATTGTTTGAACCCAGGAATTCGAGACTACAGAGAGCTGTGATTGCACTCCAGCCTGGGTGACAGTGATACCCTGTCTCCCCCCCCAAAAATAAATAAATAATTATTGCCAAGTGCGATGGCTCATGCCTATAATCCTATCATGTTGAGAGGCAGGAGGATTGCTTGAGGCAAGGAGTTGGAGACCAGCCTGAGCAAAGAGCAAGACCCTGTCTCCCACCAATCCCACAGAACAGAACTCCTACATTCGGAATTTCAATAGGGCATGTACGTAAGATGGTGCTGTGACATATAAGTAGTGACTTGATTAACATATTAATGTGAAAGAATGGCATACAGCTAGTTGAATGAATGCATTGACTTTGTGAAAAACACTTCCATTGTTACAACTACCTGTGTTTCTTGTAAATGGTCTCAATAGTTCATTTTATAAAACAAGGTGTAGTTATTAACTATGGTTTTGTATTTTTCACTCATTACTTAATTTCAGCATGTTGGTTAAATAATGATAATTGTGGCTTTTCTTGACATGGGAAGAGCTAACATTAGATAATTATCCTGGCTTTTTCTAGTTTGAAGAAACTTTGATGTGAAAATCTACTGACATCGAGACTACTAAATACCCTGAACTAGGAATATTTAAACAAATAAATGGATGGCAGAAACAACATAAAATTGTCATCTTCCTGTTTTATTTGATTAGGATGTTTAAAAATAAAGCAAATCCATACACCTGTCAGCTGCTACCTTCTTCATCATTAAAAGGAAATATATTTTAATTTGCAAAAAGGATAGGGTACAATCTCTGTCATTAGGACAGTCTTTTAAATTTAGCTTTATGAAAGGTTCATTGTTTTATATTTACTTATTTTTTATTTATTTATTTTTTTTTGAGACAGAGTCTCACTCTGTTGCCCAGGCTAGAGTGCCGTGGCATCAGCCTAGCTCACAGCAACCTCAAACTCCTGGGCTCAAGCGATCCTTCTGCCTCAGCCTCCCAAGTAGCTGGGACTACAGGCATGCGCCACCATGCCCGGCTAATTTTTTCTGTATAGTTTTAGTTGTCCGATTAATTTCTTTCTATTTTTAGTAGAGACGGGGTCTCGCTCTTGTTCAGGCTGGTCTCGAAGTCCTGACCTCAAACGATCCGCCCACCTCGGCCTCCCAGAGTGCTAGGATTACAGGCGTGAGCCACCGCACCTGGCCTGTATTTACTTATTCTTATATGGGAACCACATTTGTAGAAGATTTAAATTTTACAAGCTGGAAAGCTTTAAAACCTGATTCTTTTAATGTGCACCATTATAAAGCTTTAGTCTCGTAAGTGGGACCAAGGCCAGTGCTAGTCATGGTAGAAAATATTTTTTATTTGTTTTGCTTTTTTTTTTTTGGTAACCTGAGGCTATTTTTTATATTCATTTGTTTCTGTAATAAAATATTTTCTTTTTTTTTTTTTTTGAGACAGAGTCTTACTCTGTTGCCCAGGCTAGAGTGCTGTGGCATCAGCCTAGCTCACAGCAACCTCAAACTCCTGGGCTCAAGCGATCCTCCTGCCTCAGCCTCCCAAGTAGCTGAGACTACAGGCATGAGCCACCACTCCTGGCTAATTTTTTATTTCTATTTTTAGTTGACTGGCTAATTTTTTCTATTTTTAGTAGAGACGGGGTCTCGCTCTTGTTCAGGCTGGTCTCGAATTCCTGACCTCAAGCGATCCTCCCACCTCGGCCTCCCAGAGTGCTAGGATTACAGGCGTGAGCCACCATGCCCGGCCTGTAATATAAAACATTTTCTTTACGGTGATACAAGCGTAATAGCTTTCCTGAGAAAATTGTTCTCTAAAGGGAAAGGGGACCTTTTTTTTCCACCCTAAAATCATCATTGTAAGGGAACATCCTAGTGTTATATGACAGTTTGTATTAGATTATTTTAGAATCTTCAATAAAATGTGTACATTTCCTGAAGGGAACATCCTAGTGTTACATGACAGTTTGTATTAGATTAGTTTAGAATCTTAAATAAAAGGTATACATTTCTTGAAGGGGAGAGGCACTTAAACTGTGAGTTGACTTTAAGTTGACTTAAAGTGAAGTTGACACAACTGGAAGGTAACTTCAAGATGATTGTAGTTCAACAGTGGTCTTCACTTCCATTTTACAAATGAAGAAATGGATACTTGGACTGGTCAAGAGGGTATTCACCACTGGAAGCAAGGAAGGTGCTGTGTAATCACTGAGGAGCTGAGGTACTTGGATCTCCTAAAATCCTGGATTACATTGGTGCCAATCAGTGGAAAACCAAAGAGGATGAGAAGGTGGACAAGCCCATTGGAGCTCTGGATGATGGGGATAGTGCCTTGCTCAAAACTTGTGGTCAAAGCCCTTACTCTAGGCAGATCAAGCAGGTTGAGGATGACATTCAACAACTTCTCAAGAAAGTCAATGAGCTCACTGGTATTAAAGAGTCTGACACTGGCCTGGCCCCACTGGCACTCTGGGATTTGGCCACAGATGAGCAAACACTCCAGAGTGAAAAGCCTTTACAGGTTGCAAGGTGTACAAAGATAATCAATGCTGATTCAGAGGACCCAAAATATGTAATCAATGTGAAGCCGTTTGCCAAGTTTGTGGTGGACCTCAGTGATCAGGTGGAACCTACTGACATTGAAGAAGGGATGAGAGTTGGTGTGGACAGAAACAGATATCAGATTCACAGTCCATTGCCACCTAAGATTGACCCAGCAGTTATCTGATGCAGATGGAGGAAAAACCTGATGTCACACACAGTGATGTTGGTGGCTGTAAGGAATAGATTGAGAAATTGTGAGAAGTAGTTGACACCCCACTTCTTCATCCAGAAAGGTTTGTTAACCTTGCTACTGAGCTTCCCAAGGGTGTGCTGCTCTTTGGTCCACCGAGTACAGGCAAGACGCTCTGTGCTCGAGCAATTGCTAATACGACTGATGCTTGCTTCATTCTAGTTATTGTATCTGAACTTGTACAGAAATAACATCAGTGAGCTCTTTGAAATGGCCAGTACAAAAAAAGCCTGTGTTACCTTCTTTGATGAAATTGATGCTGTTGGAGGGGCTAGGTTTGATGATGGTGCTGGAGGTGACAATGAAGTGCAGAGAACAAAGTTGGAATTGATCAATCAGCTGGATGGTTTTGATCCTCCGAGCAATATTAAAGTTCTGATGGCATCTGACAGACCTGATTCTTTGGATCCAGCACTGAGGAGGCCAGGGAGATTGGATAGGAAGAATGACTTTAGCTTACCTGATCTAGAGGGTCAGAGTCACATCTTTAAGATTCATGCTTGTTCAGTGAGTGTTGAAAGAGATATCGGATTTGAATTGTTAGCATGACTGTGTCCCTATAACACTGGTTCTGAGATTAGAAGGATCTGCACAGAAGCTGGTATGTTTGCAGTCACAGCAAGGCAAAAAATTGTGACTGAGAAGGATTTCTTGGAAGCTGTAAATAAGGTCATTAAATCTTATACCAAATTCAGTGCTACTCCTGGCTACATGACATACAGCGTAGCCCTGAAGTCTTTCAAGTGAAAACACTTTTTTTGATTGGAATCCTAACCTTACATAGACTTGTTAATAACCACTTCACATACACACAAAGGCTTCAAAATCGTAAAAAAAAAAAAAAAAAGTATCCATTGTTCCTAAGATTACCCACAATATAATTCAGTGCATTAATTTGGTATTCATAATATGGTCATATAAAATTACAACTGTGTTCTGAGTCAGTTCTTGATAAATTATAACCAAGAAGTAGAAACACTGCATGGATATTTGAAATAATTATGTAACTCATTTATGTTTAGTTTTGGAATGTGTTTATGCTTTTATTCAATATCCGTCGTCATTATCCTGTGGATCATTTTACATCATAGGAGAAATTGAGCTAGGGACGATGGCTAGAATTTCATCTAGTTTTAAATACATCCTCAGACCTCCCCCCTCCAGTTTTCTCACCCATATGTTAGATGCAAATGGTGCTCATTTGTTGGAAAAATTGAACAGAAAGTATAAAGCTGAAAGTACATACTGTTTTCTCCCTCCAGACCCAGCAATTGGATGTATTAATATTATCCTTCCTGACCCTAACTGCAGCTGCATCATTTATATAAATGGAATAATTTTTATATGCATTGTTCTGTGGTATGCTTTTGTCATTCATCAGAATAATGTAGATTTGTTATTAGTACTTTATTTTCTGTGGCTTTATAGTGTTCTGTATTTTATCAAATTCTTTTAGCTGATTTTTGTTCATTAGATTGTTTCTATTTTTTAAAATTGCTATAAACATCTTCATTTATATATTTGCATATTTGTACAAGTATTTCTGTTAAGATAAATTCTAACTAGTATTGTTGAATCAAATATTAAAAGATCTAACCAAACTGCCTTAAATAAAATCTAGTTTACACTTGGCCACGAGAGCCTCTGAATTCCTACATCCATACTCTCTCACTGATTCTGTGGTTTGAATTTAGTCCTGATACTTACCTCAAGATTTGAGTAGAGAGTAAAGGATGCCTTTGGTTTTGGTTTCTGTGGAATATCCTGTAAGGAGTTCATGATATTGATAGTTTTAGAGTTGACCCTATTATTATTTTTCTGGGATTAGATGAATTATTTTAACTTTTGTGTTTGGCTTCTTTACTTTAGTTCCTCTTTTCACAAACTCTCCAAATCAAGATTTCTTCAAATTTTATTGAGAATAATCCAGTAAATGATTTAATTTACATTAATGCTTTATTGAACTAATTAGAGTTACACTATTGACCTGATTATAGAGCTTAATGTTGATAATTTTCTTGTTCAGGACTGGGGCTGGTACTATTACATTAGTTTTTTAACTTGTTTCTTTCAATCTTCTGTAGTTTAGCTGCTTCAGTGCTATTTTTGGTCTCAGGTAAAGATCTATCAGGCCTTGCTAAATGTTTAAATATAGATGTCCTGCTTTGTGTAGAGATAGAAATTTAGAGATAAATCTTTGGTGTTGAATGTATGCCAGATGTTGACATCTGACTGTCATTTTTTGTTTTCTTATTTTCAGGCAGAGGCAGAGGTGAATGTGGTTTCTACCAAAGAAGTTTTGATGAAGTAGAGGGTGTATTTGGTCGAGGAGGTGGCAGGGAAATGCATAGATCGCAGAGCTGGGAGGAAAGGTAACTAAAGGATCCAGATCTTGCCATAAAGATTTCTTGGTATATAAAACATTTATTTTTTGCTTTCTGCAGAGAGAAGTCTCTTTGTATAGTTACAGGGTTTCATTTTTTTAAAATGCTGTTAATTATTGAATGCCAAGTTGTAAGAAATTTTAAAATGATTCTTATTTAATGAAAGAAGCATACCAGATAAATAAGTTAATATATTAGTGCCAGAAAAGATAATTTGATTTGCTATTTGATTAACATTCAGTAGATTGCATTGCCATTTTATTGTTTGTAGGTATTAGTAAAAGCATGTTCTTTCTGTATAGTTTGTGACTTTAAATGAAGTCAGTCAGAATGAGTGAGGACACTTGCACAAAAATGTATATACAAGATTGCCCACTATGATGATATTTTTAATATAAAATAATTGGAAACAACCCAAACAGATTGATATTTCCCACACAATAGAATACTTTATGATACTATATAACCATTAAAGTTAAAGATCGTTTTGAAAATATTTAATGATGTGGGAAAACACATTCTAAAACAGTATATAAAACTTATCTAATTAGAATATTCTGGGTCAGTAGAAACCTAGTTTTTCATGAGTAAGGTGGCAGATGTTTTTATTTTCATCTTTGTGCTTTTTTGTATTTTACAGATATTAGGCAATTACCATGTATTTATTTGTTTTATAATTTGGAAAAAGAAATGCTGTTAAAGAAAAATGGGAAAGTGAGTGTCATGAATGGGAAATCTTCATATTACTCTCAAGCTTTGTTCGAAACTTTATCTTTTCTAGGGGTGACAGACGTTTTGAAAAACCAGGACGAAAAGATATAGGTAAGGTTCTTAATGTATTGATATAAATATTTCCTGGACTTTCATGAAATTAGTTCTTAACAAGGCTCACACAGAAGGATAAATTTATTAAAAATTGGCTTGGTTACCTGCACCTCTCCAGTAGATGGGGTTGTAGCATTGCTTACATTTAGAATTCCATGGTTATATTTGAGGTGTCCATTGTATGAAACCAGAGATGATGAATACAACCATTAGGATTTACTTGAGTTAACTTTTTAGGTCTGTGTCTTCTCTGCAAGGCATGTATTCTTTATTAAGGCCAATTTGTTAATTGAAACTTCAAGTTAGGAAACAATCTACTAAACTCCTTTTTCAGTATAGATAGCATCTCACAGGTGAGAAAAAATAGGAAAAATGCTAGAATCTTTGCTTTTGTATCAGAGGAAAGGCTGAAACTGCAAATGTTCTTCTTTAGTCATCTATTTGGCCTTTTTGCAGTATAGTCTTTTCTGTTTTTGTTTTTTTTGTGATGAGAGCAATCAAATAAATTATATAGTTAAGGTATCCACTGAAGAGAAATGTAATAAGGAAACAGATTCCAGTGTTTATGCTGAATTAATCACAGTTTATATTACGAATTTATAATGTTAAAATGAGCTTTCTGACTGATTTAAGGTACTACCTTACAAACTGCCAGTAGGTATTAATATCTGAGAGGAAAAATGCCGGTTCATAGTACCACTGGAGTCATGAACATTACCAAGTTCCGAATTCCTACAAGTACCAAAAAAGTTCTCCAGAACGTGAATGTATCTAACAGTGGTAAACGTTTCTTGTAAACATATGTTAAATATGTAAATACCATTCACAGACTGATTTGCAGATTGTTTTAAAAACTAAGTAGTTATGTGATCAGCTTTGCTTCCCTGTTTCCATATAAAACTCAAACATATCAACGATTAAAATTCCTCAATCAGTAACATGGCATTGGGATTCTTCAGTTGCATTTATGTTAATGAAAACCATTCATTATGTGTAGCATGAAGAAATTTGGGACAGACTGGGTAGATATTTATTGTTAGCTTTACCCATCTTGTAGACTGTTGGATGAGTATCATCTCAGGGAACCTGTCAGGACCTCTGCTCCCATGCTTGTCTGATTCCATACTTCTGCCAGTGAATATGGAGTGGTGATGAGGGGTACTTTAAAGAGTATAGGATTTGAAGTCAGAAGATCATGGGTATTCTAAGCTCTCAGATATTTGTTAGTCTTATAATAAGATGAAGTGATAGTGCTACATAATTTTTAGGCTTACAGTAGTTCCCCCTTATTTGTGGGGCATTTGTTTCAAGACCCCCAGTGGATGCCTGAAACTGTAGATAGTACTGACCCTTTATATACTGTGTTTATTTCTATACATGCATACCTATGATAAAATTTAATTTATAAATTAGGCACAGTAAGAGATTAACAATAATAACTAACAATAAAATAGGACAATTAAAACATTATACTGTAATAAAAATTATGTGAATGTGGTCTTTCTTTCAAAATACTTTAATATTTTCAGACCGCGGTTGACTGTGGGTAACTGAAACCATGGAAAGTAAAACTGTGGCTAAGGGAGGACTACCGAAAATTAGAGTATATGAACTTATATTCATTTACCATATATCGAATTCCTACTTAATATGCTAGGCCTTGTGCTGGGTGGTGAATATTTTCTTTGGAGGATACTGTTGGTGCACTGATCAGATTTTCACATCGTTCAGTGTTGAGAGGGGTAGCTGTGGAGCGGAACAATTAGGACTTGGGATCAGAATTAAGGTGGAGCAAGAGACCACATCTAATCAAATGGAAGTTTAACAGTAGAAAAGACAAAGTCTTACGTAAGTGAATTATAGAATTTAAAATATGGAGCAGCCGTGTGTAACAGCAGCCTACTGGGGAAAGGCACAGCTCTCTCAGGCGACTCTCTGCTGCTGAGGTGACATCCACACAGCTGTGGGCAGTGTTTACTAAAACTAAAGTGTCCTCAGTGAGTCAGGTGATAGAGAGGCCCATTGTCTTTTATGTTGTCACAGGACAGCCTACGCGTTGTGTTCAGTTCTTGGGGCCACACCTTGAAAGTGTCCATACATTGGAGTAGGGGGGCTGGGGCATTTGAAGCCTTGTGGTGGGGACTGTGTGGAGGAAATGAAGCTGTTTAGATAAAGGCAATACTGTGGACGGGACGGAGTGGAGAGGAGGGTCACTGTCTACCAATGCTCTCTTAACGATCATGTGAAAGAGGAATTAGACTTGATCTTTATGAGTCTAAAGGGCAGAAAGGGACCGAATGATGGAGGGTTCAAGGAGGCAGGTATTTGACATAATCTTGAAAAGAACTAATAATTAGAGTAGTCTGAAAATGTCTTGGGTTGCCTTGGGAAAGTAGTGAGTTCCCTGATTGAGAATAGGTTGATTTTAATTACTGACACATATTCACACTTTATTGATTTAGAATAGATGAGTAGTATAAAGTCCTTTTTCCTCATTATTTGTGTCACTTTTTAACTTACATTACTCCAGTGAGGGTAATTTTCCTAACTACTCTCTTTATTAAGAGTAAGGTTTCTTTTCTTTGCATCCCATAGGTATATCTTTGAAAAAACAAGTTCCATAAAACCAAATTGACATCAAGTGTCTCAGAATATTTAGGATACTAACTACCACTTAGTATCTCCTAACGCCTAATATACTAAAATATTCTGGCAATTTCCACGGACATATATATTCTAATATATCATGGTGACTTTTACTCAATGGTTTTTGTAAAGATGCTTACTTCAGATTAACTGTGCTAAGGATTCTGAGCTTTCTTTTTTTGCAGATAATTTGTTGAAAATCATGTAGATTAAAAAAATTGTTCATAATTGTATCTTACACTCTCCAAGAGTAGCAGTACTAAACTAGTTTGTTGGGACATACTGATATATTGATCAATTGTGAGATGTCTTATGACATCAAATTAAGATAATTCAAGTACTGAAGGTTTCAGAATGATTTGTTCTTTTTAGAGATGGTGCTTATCATGTATTTGTTTCTTATATGAAGAGAAATGAGTGGAATATAGACATCTGGGTAAAAATCATGCATAATCCTGGTGAACACCCATGAGAGAATGTGGAGGTAGAAAAAAGGCCAGTGGTATTAGAATTATAATTCCTATTTGAATAGGAATTGATTGCTGCATAGGAAAGATCAGTTCTGGTGATAATCTTATACTATGATTCTTTGAGGATGAAATTAAAGGATCATTAAAAAATAAATGATCCAGATGATACCAATAGACTCAGCCCAGTGAGATACTAATTAGTGCATTTTGGTGTGAAATACTTGAAAATAGACATAACAGTTTTTGGTTATAGACTATTTCTGGCAGTTGGTAATATGGGCTTGTACATACTTAAAACCAGGCCCTTAAGATTTTTGGTACCTATTTGTCTCCAGTTTTGTTGGAACTGTCATGCCAGTTTTATTGATTTCCAAAGATACTTTTTAAATTAGTTCCAAAGTGATCTTCCTAATCACGTGTGTTAGATTCCGTGACCAAACTCCCCGGTGGTCTAGGTTAGCAAGCTGCACATCCAGGAAGGTAGACCTCCCAATAATTTCCTCCCTCTTTCTCTTTCCATTTTTACTCCATTTTCCTGAGAGGTTAATGGTCTCTCTGCAGAAAACTTAATCCTTAACCTGGATACTGTGATTCTTTGAAACAAGTGAATGAATCATGACCATTGCTCCCAGGAGCTTTCTATCCCCTAGACAAAAGTTTTTGATCACATTTCTTTGTTGTCAATTTATAAAATATTTATTAAATAGCATTAGTTTACCAACAGTTTTTCTTGGATGTGCATAGGGAAAGTCATATTTAGTCTCCAAATGTCAAGTTTATATATAAATAGTAAATATGATGCGAGACTCATCTGACTTGAATGGAGCCCTAGATCCCAAGGTCTTACTCATTCACTGTGTCACCTTGGGCAGCTTCACTTAGCTGTTGAAATTGTGATCTCCGTAAGTGACGTAGTGCTCTTAGGAAAAAACATACCATGTGAGTCTTCAATACTACTTTATTTTCACAAGTTAGGTGAATCTTGTTAATTTATTATAGAAATAAGAATTCCCACTGTCTTTATGTGTTACAATAGTCTTGGGTTGGGGAAAAAAATCTGTTGGTCTGGCTACTACTTAAGAATGAATGTCTAAGATTTTCAGATAGCAAAAGTTAACAATAATTAAGTTTCTGTCTTCTTGATACTCTTCTGCTATTATCAGTCTTAGATGACTCCAAAGTTCTTTATTTTCTTTTCCTTTTGGTCAAATAGTGGAAAAATGTGACTTGCTGCTGTGCCCTGCTCTTCACAACTGCTTGCCTTTACTCAGCTAGTATTTATTTCAAGAGATGATTCCTACCTAGGCCATCACCAGTGGGAAAGATTAATCTTTCGCTTTTCCCACAAAAACCTGAATAGGGGAAATTTCAGAAAAGAAGAGCAGCCACAGATCTGTTTGAAATCTGATGGGGTGACTTTTTTGGTTATTGTATTGTTTGAGGACAGTTTCTTTTTTCTTTTCTTTTTTTTTTTTAATTGAAGTGAAAATTATGCAAAGGATTGTCTTAACCTGGGATGTGAGGGAAAGGGTTCATTGTAGCATATATAAAATAGAAAACGAAGCAGAAAAAACATAATTTTTACGGAGTATTAGATTCCGAAAGAAATAACAGTTCATCTAGTCCAGCCTCCTACTGGTGAATAAACACTTTTTGTGTTTATAGAAAAAACTATTTGAAGTTGGAAACAGGAATTTGGGTTTGAAAATACTTTCTTGCCTAATTATTTTTTGCTTTATCTATTGGAGATTTTTTTTTCTCATTGCATTATATCTAACTAAACTTTTATACCTCTGTTTGTATTTGTGAATTATTTAGAGCTATGGTGATTTCTTATACCATCAAATGGATCTTAGGTAGGAAGGGGATGTTTTTACTTAG